AAACAAAACAAAGTAATGGATTCAGAAAGGCGCGCGAGATTCAAATCACTACGCCAAAAAAGACTTACGAAACCGCTTTTTTTTGCCTTTAAAAGCGCTTAAAAGCGCTTTCTTAGGTGGCGCTGCAATAGGTTTTAGCAGCGCTTTTTGTTTAATGAAAAGCACTTTCGTAGGTCTACCTAATACAACACATTTTCTAAAAAGCGATCTCTTAAGTAGGCTTTTGGCAGCGCTTTTTTATGAAGAAGCGCTTTCATAGGTCTACCTAAGGCAGCGCTTTTTTCTGGAAAAGCGCTCTCATAAGTTTTCTTTTAGCAGCACTTTTTTTTGGAAAAGCGTTGTCTTAGGTAGGCTTTTAGCAACGCTTTTTTCTGGAAAAGCGCTTTCATAGGTGGTCTTTTAGAAGTGCATTTGCCTGGAAAAGCATTGTCATATGTTTACCTTAGACAACGCTTTTTGTGAAAAAGCGCTTTCATAGGTTACCTAAGGCAGCGTTTTTCTTTAAAAAGCGCTTTCATAGGGTGTTTTTTTTAGAGGTATAATTTATATAATTCATATACCTGCATTGTTTGCAGCATATTATTTATATAAACCAGTTGCCATAACCTGTAATTCATAAACCGCGGTAATGCATTGTATACCATTGTAATCCAAAATATATATACACCATTTTTGTACCTCAAAATATATAAAAACCATTGTTATCAGCATTGTAACTCAAAATCAGTCTTACAAAATTAACCCTAACAACAACTAAACCAGTTATAATGTATGAAAGAAACACGGTCAATTATGTATTAAGGTCCTGGTCCTGCGAGGTTTGAACATAATAACACGGTCAATATGGTATTCCATGTACACATGTAACGTATTCATAACACTTTTCACATAATAATGTATTCATACCTTATATGATTCTCTGCTCAATAAAATATTAACACAATTCCTCTTTGATTTCTTCCAACTGAAGTTTCGTGTAATATGCACATTTGTATTCATCGAAGTACTACATAACAAAATATAATATGCATGATTTAGTTAAAAGTAAAAAATTATATGAAATATCCGAGAAATAATAAAACAAATCCTAAGTTATAAATCCATACTGTGACTGGAATCTCTATTTGAATTAGTTGAAGGATTTCTTTGATAAACCGCATAACGAAGTATCCACAATCTATACCGTTTTACTGTTGAGGACACTACATAGAAAAATAAATAAGAATATATAGTTGTATTGTTTTATCAAATTTCATAAATATTATAAGCAAAATAGTGGAAATTAATATTCATGCACTTTGATCCAATTAATGTTGTTTGATTTAGACCGCCGTACCCGAGCTTCTCTTTGACACCGAAATACTTGTATCACTCTAACAAAATAAAAATATATATTTAGAACAATGTCACAGAAATAATTAAATATATAAATACACACAAATATTTATAATAATCTCACTTACGTATCAATCATTAACTTCATATCCGGATAATTTATCCAATCACCGTCAACCAAATTCAGATAATAGACCACTTCTTTTATAGGATTGATAGCAACCAATAACCAGTGATGTCTATAAATTAAAACAACAGTTTAAAAGAAAATTTTCTACGCAAAAATTACAAATATTAAAATTAACTTAGAATGAAAATATAACCCTATAGGAATAGTATTATACGCCCAAAGATATAAGCTTTCTGTACTACCAGTTACCATGAATCTTTCGACTAAGTGCTCTCTTACTGAATCCAGTTCCCTACTAATTGTCGCTCCGCTGACACGGGAGGAAGACACGAAATGGAATCTGTTTGACAATTGATTCCCACGCATCAATTTGTCATATAACAACCATAAATAAAAACATAATTAATATTAGACTATATTCATTGAAATGTTTAAAAAAAATTTCAGCTAATTACATAATATAAAGATGGGGTTACCGGACGTATGCGTGCATAATACTGACGCCTAATTCTTTATGACAGAAAATCTCTTCCACGTCCTCATGTTCAATTATTTCGGTGCAAGGAAAACCAAAGATACCTTGATCTATATCCATTTGACGAATACCACCATCCATCAAATATGTTGTTCCCACTATTATTTCAAGACACTGCCGGTATCGAGGGAAAAATCTAGTAGGAACCCTTTTCTTGGGTAGTACGCCAATGATTTTCTGGCTCACTTGTTGTGACCCTTGAAAAGGTACATAAAAATCATATAGACTCAGTTAAATTATAAAATTATGCAGTTTTTTATTCGGATCATATTAACACTTTAAACGTACCTCTTTTTGTGATACATCAGACTCGTCGTGCCGCAAAATCCCTTTACCCTTAGATGCGGATTTTGTAGGAGTCTATAATTACCGTGGAAATTAAGATTCATAATGGTTTTCAACATACCTGATCATCTATGAAAATGAGGTCCGATGGCCATGCAACAAAAGATCCTATTGCATCTCGCAGCAATGTGGTCTCAGCAACAATGTCAGGTACCGACAACAACGCATCCATATCTAAAGCAATATCAACCGATACTTTCATGTGTCCATCCGGAAGCGGTCTATGGTGAAGTAAATCTCCCAAAGTGTTATGGACTTTTCCCTTGCCAACTACTCGATAAGTCGGCGATGATAGGTATAGATGGCAAGATGAAATGCCCTAAACCAATAATAACCGTTAGAAGTGACTAAAAATATTCTATAATAATAACGGATATATATTGAAAATTACCTCAGGAAATTTATGTTGACATTTGATACTAGCTTTGTCACTAGTTTCTTTCAACTGTGAACTGCTCTTTTCTGCCATATCTCTCTCTTTATCCTTCTACAATTCACAGAATTGAGCTTGTAAATCCTGCAATGTTTGCATCACTTCTGCATTGCTAGGATTTCTTCTCCTTGGATGCTTATACATAGAGGTTGGAGTCACACCATGACCTTTACCCCTCACCCGACCCGGATACTCAGCAATATTTAGTGCTCGACTAAGTATGCTCCTGGTATCCTGATCCTCACCTGGGGATATCGATTGCGACAAGGTCTCCTGTAATTCATTTACATATCGAAAATTATTAGTGGAGATAAAAAATTATTTAAATATTAATAAACATTTGATTTAATTAAAGACACAATCTTATACTTACACATTCATCATACACATGTTGAAGATCGGGATTAACAACTTGATCCTTGCCCACACGAGCTTCCTTCCACAACAAATGTGCTGGTAGTGATGTTGCGTCACTTTTCGTCTCTTCTAACTACTCATTGACACAAGTCTTAAGATCATCAATTATAACACATCGAGAGAATTAATAAGATCGTAGAGTTTATATTTACTTACAATTTTTTCCTCTAAGTGAGCATATCCCAAACGCCCTTTTTTGTATGGATATGCGTGTTTTGACGCTCTCTCGCGATTGATGGCACTCACTTTCTTGAAATTCACATCTCTTATTTTGCCTACAAAACCAACCCATTCTTTAGGTGTAATGAAGTTCTCATATTTCTTTGGACGTTCCGGATCCTCTTCAAGAAAATTTCCTTCATCATCTTTAAGATACTTGTTTGTTAAAAATGTTCTCCACCTTCTGTGTCTTTTTCCAGCCAAACCCATTATATACTTTTTACGGGTATCTTCAATGTTAAAAGACCTCTATAAAAAAACATACGCATAAAGTGTGTTAGTAAAAGCAATTTAAACACATATTATCGTCAAGATAAAGAAAATAACAAAAACCATATATGTACCTTTATCTCAGTCCAAACTTTCTCTTTACCCTCATCCAACTCTCCTCTTTTCCATCTAGGAGTGGTGATCAGAATGTGTATACAAACAAGCGTACCAATGTAACTTGTAAACTTTGCAGCATTAGACCCAATTAGTTGGTCATTATCATTCCAATCTACATTATATGTTACTCCTCTATCTCTATCACGGATGATTCCCCTCATAATAGTTATACCTCGTGTAATATCTTTTTCTGAAGTCTTTTCTGAAGTATTTTCAGGAGCATTTTCAGGAGCATTTGCATCTTGTGAGTTTTCTTGATTACTAGCCATTTGACCTGTAATAATGAAAAAAAATTAAAATGAAATGACAAATTAAATTTTATTAAATGATATAGGCTATAATTATATATACTATTACCTTTTTCACTAAGGTCTCTTTCTTTTCTTGGTAGGAATGTGTTCTACTCGTCTCTTAACAACGCGGATAATATATAACATGAACACTACTGCTGCTTCTTACACAGACATAAACATAAGTGGATCAAAGATCACTACAACTACTATCCCAACAAATAGGAGTAATTTATATGTCTAGAGAAGTCGACACTAGCAATCCTACTGAAAACAAAAGTTGAGAAATGGATCAAACTAACCTCAAGGAGCAACATCAGGAGTGCATAAATATTCTGTCAAAGCAGAGCAACAGAAGGAGTGAAATATGAAGAACAAAGGTGATGACCATGTCAAGGAAAACAAGAACACAAATAAATAGAGCACCAACAATTAAAACAACAATATCAAAGGGAAAGGAATCATGAAAGATTACCCGAGCACAAAGAGCAACAGTCAGTCGAGGAGAAAAATGCATAAAAAGCAAGACCAATTGAAGGATACAAAGTCAAGTACAAGATGGTACATTGGTGAAAGTTCAAAGGGCAACCAAGATAAGGAAGCCATAGGAAAATACAAAAAGACTCTTGAACACACATGGAGAGCAAACAAACACAAAAATAAGGGCATTATCATTAAGGAAAACAACAAGTATAGTAGGAATGATAAAGTGAAAGAAGGGTACAACAACAACAACAACAACAAAATAACCAAAGTGGCAACAACATAAGTAATAATGGAGATTACCTGAGTGAGAATCAGCTAGTCAACAAAGCTATGCCAAGTCAAGCAACCACTCATACTCTTTGTAATTAGAAAACTAGAAGTAGTGGTATATACAATGAAAACAATGTCGTTAGTCAGAATAAAATGAAGGAAGGTCAAAATAAGGTAAACAATAAACATGAAAAAGAGGATATTAAGGATCTTACAGGGAAGACGGGGAAGAATGGCGAAGCAAAAGCAAAAGCTGAAGAGCACAAGTGGTCTGGAAAATGCACTGATGATTTTGAGGATCAACCAACAGGGAACCAAATAAGGTAATAGATATGAAGATAAGGTGGAAACTCATACTCAAAAGCACAAATATAGTAGATCGAAAAAAGAGAACAAAAATCTAAGTAAGAACAAGATGTATGAAGAACATAACAACGAAATAAATAAACATGCAAATGAATCAGGTTTAGGCCGGAGAAGTGGAGCGCCGTTGACCGCAGTAGAAGCTCTGGTTTAGGGTTTTTTCGTGAAGAAAATCTGACTGAGAATAGAAAAGTGATACGAATTGTGTTTTGATATTTATTATAAAACTACCTACGAAATCGCTTTTAAAAGAGATTTATAAAGGTCATCTATAACAGCGCTTTTACATCAAAAAGCGCTTTCGTAGCATATCCTATAGCAGCGCTTTTAAAAGCGCTTTCTAAAGGCCAGCTTTAGCAGCGCTTTGGAAAAGCGCTTTCTAAGGCTGACCTTTAGCAGCGCTTTTGAAAAGCGCTTTCTTAAGGTACCCTCTGAAAGGCCAGCTTTAGCAGCGCTTCACAAAAAGCGCTTTCTAAGGGTGACCTTTAGAAGCGTTTTTGAAAAGCGCTTTCTTAAGGCACCCTTTGAAAGCGCTTTTTTAAGGGAATTTTTTTTAAAACCTACAGCAGCACTTTTTTCCAAAAGTGCTTTCTTTTATGTGCTGCTAAAACTTATTTTTGGCGTAGTAAATGAACCAATAGTGGGATGCCACATATTATCTTCTTCTCTACAACCGTCGTCTTAAGTTTATGACTTATACCTACGGACGTTTGCTGTAACTACAGCCCTGCAAAACTCAAATATCTCATACGAGCATGATAAATTAATTGTGATGGTACCAATAAACTCGTCTTGGCCTCACGAGCATCATGGTACCTCATTCATAGCCTAATTTTACCTGTACCAGAAATCCCCAAATCGTGACCCCAAACCCTAACAATGGTAAGTGTTGATTTCTGCACTGTTAATACAATTAAAGGATATAGAAAGCTTGAAAACACGGTTATGAACAAGGATATATGAACAAAATGGATTTATGATGTGTAAAACATAGAAATCAAATTTGAGTTTCAGATGCAAACCGTGATGTGTCTAGGCGATGGTTCTTGACGTTTTGAAGGCTGCAAATGATGGTGTTGGCTTTAGGAGATGGCCTGGAAGTGTTAGAATCTTTCAATGGACTAGAATCAACCTTTAAGGAAGGAATCAAATGCACACTTTTTATCCAATTTCTGAATTTTTGTTCTTGCTCCCTACGACTGCAAAACCTTGTCTTTTGATCTGCAATTGTTATGTACTTATAGTAGACTAAATTAGGTCATAAAATTGGCATGAATCTTGAGAAATAATGGAAATTGGATTTGATTTGCTCTTGTATGATATATTTCTAAAACAAGATTCAATCCAATATTTTTCAATCCAAATCCACTCTGCACGAATTGGCTAGCATGTTAGCTATACAGGGACTCAAAATGTGCATAAAAAATCAAGGATTTGATTTAATTTCATTATTTTACTATTTTATATTGACTTGTTTTGATTTAAATGAAATAAAATCAAAATAAATAATAAAAATAATAGAATAATAGGTGGAAAAGCTAAGGGGTCGTGGGTCCTATTAGAAACATGTTTCAAACAAGAAAACATGGGCCCCTTTGGAAAAAATGCAAATTTGATCAATGTTGACTTTTGACAATTTTCCAAAAATTGCCAACTTTGACAATTCATATCTCTCTCAATTTTGACCCTAGGAGGGTGTTATTTGACTTTTTAGAAAGATTAAGATGTCCCCTAAGAAACCCTTTTGGTCTAATTTCAATTGGATCTTCCATGTTCATGTATGAAGCTTTGAACCAAAAGGTATTTTTGTTGACTTTTCAAAAGGACCTATAATGTAAAAATTCATATCTTTTATGAGTGCATATTTTGAACTTGAGGGATGAAGATGAATTGTAGGAACTTTCATCCTCTTCAAAATGAGCCTTGGATGGAAAATTTATGATAAAGTATGAAGAAGTTATGCTTGTTCAAATTTGGGTTGACTTTTCCTGCAAAACCCTAATTTAGCAACTTTTGGGTTTTGATGAATTTGGAGCATTCCTTGAGGAATCATGATCAAACCTTGATAAAATGATGGATATCACTTCAAAATGTCGATGTTGACCAAAAATATTGAGGTTTGACTGTATGTGGGCCACAATTGACTCTTGACCTAGTATAGTCGATTCTCAAGCATTTGAGCAGTTGATTGAGAAAACTTCTTATGCAAGGCCTGAAACTTGGCATGGATGATCTTGGGACCATATTAACCTTGGAAAGAATTTGATTCCTTTGTGGTTCACACATCTTGATGAAAAGGGACACCCTAATTTTAGGTGTACTTCCTTAGGAGAGAGTTTGTCTGGTCAACTCTTGGACTTCCTTGAGCAACTTGGGGACCTCACTTGACATTTTGTGAGTAAAATTGGAGGGAAAATTTTGGGGTACAACACACCCCAAAATTTTCCCTCTAATTTCTCAAAGGATCATCCTGGACCCTCAGGTTTTCTTGTATCAAGTTTTAGTTATTGAATTACAACTTTTCAAGAAAATCATCCACAAGGGCAAAATGGTCAAAAGCACACTGAAAAGTCAAAACTTTGACTTTTATATCAAAAATCAAGTTTCAACAATTATATTTCATTAAGACATGAAATTGGTTCATCAAAAAATCAGAAGTCAGAAATTACTTTGAAAAAATCAAATTTCTAAACATTTAGAAAATTTTCTAAGTGTTAAGAGAATATAATACTTCAGAACTTCTGAGCCAGCCTCCACGCAAGTGCAGATAGAAGTTGCAAACATGGTTCAAAACATAGTTATTAGATTAGAACATGACTCTTCAGCATATGCTTCGATTAGAGCATCACCCTTCGAGTTTCATTTTGGTCTTCTTCGATTAGAACATCACAAAGCCCCAAAACCTTGTTTGAACAACCTGCTGCACTGCTATAGCACAATCCTGCAACCAGCTGCCACAACACTCCAAATTACTGCCGATCTAGTCCACGCCTGCATTTTTCTCAAACCCTATATTTGCACCAAATTAGCATACAAAAACTGTGATTAAAAAGAAATGGAACCTTCACAAAACCCTATAAATAAGTTGCTCAATTACACTTTCAAGGGGCTCTCTTTTGGGAGAGAGAGAAAAGAAAATTGTGAAACCTTCGCAAAAATCCAGAATTCTCAAACAGAAAACCAAAACCTTTGTTCTTCCCTTTGAGTCAAAGAACTTGGCGTTTTCTCTTTCGTTGCTCTTGCTGACTCCAGAACATCTGAAGGCAGTAGTTCAAGTTCCAAGCCCACGCTCCAGGTTCAAGGTAAGTCATTTTGACTTTGCATATTTTCATTCAGAATATCATTAAAATATGTAAACATCACAGTATTATTGTTGTCCATATCATTTCATAAGTAGAAAAACCGCGGATCATGACTTCTTGATTAGGGCTAGGTTCAGATTTAGGATTAGAACTTCTATAAACTGTTGTGCTTTTATCTTTCTGATTTGCTGTTTGAATAGATTGTTGATGTGCTGATTAATATGAGGGAAGAGTTGAAATGTGGCATAGGACTTCTAATTTTCACTCACTGTTTTAGCACAACACAGAACTTCTGAGTTCTCCTTGCATCTTAAACACACATAACTTCTAGGCTTTCTTACTGTTTTAACACACACAAAATTTCTAAGCTTTCTCACTATCTTAACACACACATAACTTCTTGGTTTTCTTACTGTTTTAACATAACACAGAACTTCTGAGTTCTCCTTACATGTTAAACACACAGAACTTCTAGGCTTTCTCACTGTTTTAACACACACAGAATTTCTAGGTTTTCTTACTGTTTTAACGCACATGACTTCAGATTTCCACTCACTGCTTAGCACAACACATAAGTTATGACTTTTGGCTCACTGCCTGAATACCAGCAAGAACCTCTATTTCCTTCCCCTCTAACGTTTCTCGCAGGACCTCAGAGTGTACCAATCCAGAACTTCTGATTCTCACTAACGTTTCTCTCTGAATCACAACACGCCTGGCATCAGAACTTCTGATCCCTTTTGTTCTGCTTGCAGCAGCACGATGATTCTATCTCTCATTATTTTCCCTTTTTTCTAATCATTTTCAATATTAATACCCTTTTTATTAATATGAAAAATCCATAAAAACATTTTCCTTTTTTTAATTAACTTATTTCTTTTTAATTCATTAAGACAAAAAACCACTTTCAAAATAAGTCTACTTTACCTTTCTTGTGTACTATTTCAATATGGTTGTAATAGATGATTAGGACTTTAATTTCTCACAAATTCCCATTTGTAAATTTGTACACCCCATCCCCCTAATGATTGTAATAGCGTAGAATCTTTACTTTCCGCACTTTTATTTCTTTCATATATTATTAGTAATTAGGGTGTGTATGGCAAGACATGAAATCGAAAATTAGGTAACCCTAATCAAGACTAAAATGCATGCAATCAAATACACTTGCACACTAGCACCCTTAGGGTAATCCCACTTTGTTGCTTTTAGGAAAATAGTTATGTCCCTCGAACATGGGCGTTTTAGCAAAAGACCATCGATGAAAGATCGTAGTCCCTCGATGACCCTCAATGTTGCCTTCAGTAAACGATCTAGTCCCTAAAATGACATTGCTAAAACGTCCCATAAGTTGCCTTCTATGACTATACAAAAACGTCCCGTGCCCGTCCCTTGACATCCAACGATGGGGCTTATTATCAAATCAATGGTAAGATAGTAACATCTAAAGGAGGAGGAAAAGAACATTTAAGACCTTTTGAGTAGGTAGATTCGCTCCTAGTTGCTCGCTTGCTCACAACCAAACATTTTACACCAACATTTTCACATTAAAAACTTGTTTTCAAAAGACAAAAGCTTTTTGTATACGTTCTTATAAAGACGAGAACCATTGCAAAAACATCTTTTCGAGAAGAATTTAAAAAAACACATTCCACACACACCTCTTTGAACTATTTTCGAACAAACACTTTGTACGCGTTCTTATAGAGATGAGAACCATTAAAAAGATGTTTTAAAAATACTTTCAAAACCCACACCACAAGCACATTCAAACAAAAGAAAGTGATCTAGCAAGTAACTAAGAGCCCATGGAAAACCATGGATGAAAAGGGTGCTAATATCTTCCCTTTTCACAATCTACCCCCCGAACTCAAGAAAACATCTCTAAAGGTCTTTCCTGTGCTTTTCACC